ATTTTATTTTTGCGATGGTTTTCCTAGGCCTGGCGTGGATGTATATGAATAAGTCATTTAGCCCTCATGAGGGAGAGTTTCCTAAAACTTTGCGGAAAAAGTGGAATGCACCTTATCTTCAAGAATTTGTTGTGGGTGATGATGGTGGACTTCATATTGGAGATACTCTTAGAAAGCGAGATGATGGGACTTACTCTAGATTTGCTTGAATCATCTTGAGTTTTACTTGAAGTTTGCTGGTGGGGTATCTCAGATCTACTTGGGATTTGCTTGTGAGATATCCGAGATCTGTTGGTGAGACATCTTGAATCTACTTGCGAGATAACTCAAATCTGCTGGTGAGATGTCTCAAATTTGCTTGTAAGATAACTGGTGAGATAACTTGAAACTGTTGATGAAACATCTTGAATCTACTAGTGAGATCATCTTAGATCTACTTGTGAGATCATCTTAGACTTACTGGTGAGATGTTTACGATTACTTGTAAGTTTATCTTAGGCTTACTGGTGAGATGTTTGTGATAACTTGCGAGATCATCTTAGAGCTGCTTGTGAGATGTTTACGATTACTTGTAAGATTATCTTAGGCTTACTGGTAAGATGTTTGTGATAACTTGTGAGACGGACTCAAATTTATTTATGATGGAGTTGCAACTTGAGCTGATGTTTGTAGATGAAATGTTGCGGTTGATGTAAAGTGTTGTGTGAAAGTTGCGAGTTGAGTTGAGATTTATAGACTGAGTGCTGCGGTCTGTCTGGAAAGATTGTGTGGACTTGCTGCGGTAACAATCACCTCACATTAAACATTCTGTATTATATAGATAAAAAATGTATTATCAAAGTTATAGTGTTGATGGTAAATTTGCGTTTTGTAAGCATGAGGTAAGTATAGGTGGAAAGTTGTTTTTGATTGATAGTGGGAAGTTTGGGGTGTTAAAGAAAGAGTTGCCGATAGTTGATAAGTATGGTGTTAGACATTCAGTTAAGAAGTATGTTCCTAAGATTCATATTCACCGTGTAAGTGAATATGTTGTGAAAGTAAGACAGTGGTTTAGAGATGAAAAACTAACTATGACACCTGGATTGAGATTTCTTGTTGTAAGGGTATGTAGCATGTTGGGGGTAGTTCCTTTGGAAAATCTTAGAGATGTTTATCCTTCTCCTAGATGTGAAGCACATGAGTTTCTTTTATATGGAATTGTGGTGCCACATTTTGGGTGGTACGTAAGTGATTGTAAGTACTATAGAAGGTGGTGTAAGGTTGTGAGGGAACTTAGTAGGGAAAGGTCTGAGGGAAGTGTTATAGCACCTCGATTTATGAGTTGGGAGGAGTGGTATGAGTGGTACTGGGGTGAAGAGAAACAACTTGGTAAGAAAGGGTTTATAAAATGTGGACGTGTGTAAACATTTGGTATTATATAAAATGTCTTGGCAAAAATATGAGATTAACCGAATTGTTGGTAAGCATTATGATGGAGATGAATATGAAAAGATTATTGAGGTTATGATGAACATCTCTCGGGTACTTTCTGATAAGAAACTTAAACCTCCTCTGTTGAAGGTCACACTTGTGAGAGTATGTAGCATGTTAGGTATACCGCGCATGTCTGATGATGGTCGAGGTAGGGAATCTGTTGTTAGAGGTGAAGATATACTCTTTGGTAAAGTCTACCCTGTACTTGGGTATGAGCCGTATTGGTGTAAACATTTTAGTAGGTGGGTTTATCTTAAGAATGAGTCTAGAAGGTGGCTTGAAGAGTTAGATCTTGAAAGTAAGATTGAGAATTGTGAGTCTGAGGATGAGTTACTTAACCCAACTGAAGAAACTTAATGGAGGTGTTTTTGGACATATTGAGTAACCTTCTGGGACTATTATCCAGTCAGACTCTGGACTCTCCATAATTCTACCAACTGTTAGTACCATTGATCTGGAGGATCTGAATATTACTCTTAATAGTGTGACAACTTTCACATCATCTACTTTTAAAGGTGAATCTTTTTCGTTACGCCCAACAAGAATTTGGATTGGTCCCACCTCTAACACAGCTAGTTTCTTAAATGCTTTGGTTACCTTCCCTAGAAATATATCTCCTACTTTTGGTGTTGATGTGATTGCAATTATATGAGTGGCATCTTCATTAAGGATTCTGTAGACATAACATTTATCATCTATGTTGGTACGTTCAGTGATTTGATGACCGGGGACCTTTATGATTCGTGCGTACTCAAAAATTTGTGCAAACTCCATTTTATAAGTTTCTCTATATAAATCATGTGAAAATAAATGGTGGTATTTTATTTATTATTTTATTTATTATTTTATTTATTATTTTATTTATTATTTTATTTATTATTTTATTTATTATTTTATTTATTATTTTATTTATTATTTTATTTATTATTTTATTTATTATTTTATTTATTATTTTATTTATTATTTTATTTCGAGATGCAATCCTGGGATTTTGTGTGAAGAGTGGATGGAAGTTAAGATGATCAATCTTACTCACAAGTTCAGGTCACAAGTTTCAATTAATACATCTTATGGAGGTGAATGGGGCACATTTAGTCGGTGAGGTGTGGGTTTACCTAGGACTGATAATTTTACTCACAAGTTTAGCTCACAATCTTACTCACAAGTTCAGGTCACAAGTTTCAATTAATACATCTTATGGAGGTGAATGGGGCACATTTAGTCGGTGAGGTGTGGGTTTACCTAGGACTGATAATTTTACTCACAAGTTTAGCTCACAAGTTTCAATTATTAGTCCGGGTTGCACATCTCACTGTATTTTATAATGTCCGTATGGAAGTGAAGTTATTCCATCATCTAGAACGTATCTTTTAGTGTCATAGTTGGACAGGGCAAGTTTATCTTGAGATATGGTGCGGAGGTTGTGATTGACACTTCTAATTGTATGGCAGGTGATTCTTTTTGTTGTGCCCTTGAATATACAATCTTTAACGTCAGCGTAACTGATGACCCGGTCCTTTGCACATCGGGGGATTCCCTTGAGCTTTTTCTCTTCTTTACCTGAGGATTTGAGGATTGCATAAGACTTTGGTTTGTTGGCTGAGATTTCCTCGATCTGCTGGCCTCCCATCTCATCTTTCATCTTTCCCGGGACTTTCTTATTCTTGTTGGAAAAGTATGGAGAATCTTTATCATAGTTTGAGTTGTCCCAGCAGTCGTGGAGTTTACCTAGTACGACACAATCTTCCTCAACATCCTCAGTCTCAATTTCATATAGGAGTGAATCTGTGTCGGTGAGGATGAGTTGTGCCTTGTTGCCGTAAAATGGTTTGACAACATCATAGTGGAATTTGTAGAGCTCGAGTTTGGCCAGCTCTAAGATAACCATTCCTATGTAAGATGGTTTGTTGAGATAGAGGACTTCTTTGGTTTGCTCGACCATGATGGCGTCTTTGGAGAGACTCTTACTTCCCTTGAATGTGGGTGATGCGATGAGCTTCTTAGCTTTCTCTGGTGTTGAGGCTATCTTTACGTGTGTACGTTTCCGAAGATTCTCCATTGTCTTTCCATAGATAGCGTTGTTCATTAGCTTGAAAAAGTCTTTCTGGAAATCATTGGTTGCCTTTGCTCTCTCAGCTGTATTCTTCTCTATGTATGACTTTAGCCAGCAACTTTGGTCAAATGAAATCGCACTATGAATTTTGGTGAGAACCATTCCCTTGGAAACATAGAAGTCAAGTGTCCTGGCGTGGAGGATGTAGTTTCTCCTGTTATTGAGGGATGTAATTAGCTTGGGCACTTCCGATGGTGAAAGGTTGTTTTGAGATCTTATCTTCTTGTTGTATGGAGATATCATATCCTCGGTGATCAACATCTTATGAGGTGCTAATGGGAGGTCTGCGTGAAGATTATGGAGTTCCTTTGGATAATCCAGATCAACCTCTAGAACTGCACCTCTGTGGGAATCTTCGAGGAATTGTTTGTAGTCAATTGTATCTGGATCCTCCCATTGAAAGTTGCCGTATGGAAGTGGTTGTGACATACATCCTCCATATAAGTTGTTGACATCCCAATACTTACAGAATGTTGACTTTTCTTTTGGGTCGAAGTTAGACTTGAATTTATTATTTGTTTTTGCGAACTTACGTGATATTTGTGCGACACCACCACGTGTTCCTTTCTCGAAGAAGTTATGCATTTCAATATCACTTAGAAGTTCGATTGCGGCGCCTCCTCTCTCTTGTTTATCTTTCAACATTGCATCCCAGGTGAGTGATGGATTTGAGATGTAATTTGCGGGGTCAAGTTTATAGGTTGCGTGACATGTTGACCTAAAGTTCTCAAATACATCTGCTAACAGTAAGACGTCCGTTTCTTGGTAGAGGTTGAGGTAGTCGTCGAACGATGACATGTTAAAGTGTGACCGTACAGTTTGCGCTCGCTGATAATCTTTGTCTGAAACAGAAGTGTCATACAGTGTTGAGAAGAACGCGTCCTTCGATGGGAGTTGAGTCTCTTTTGTTGTCTCAAGTGAAGTGAAGTGGTCATATGGAAATACACCTTTTTGAGTCATAAGCTTGAGTGACTCTCCTTGGAACCTTTTGGATGTAATTGGAAACTTAAGCGCAAGCTCTTCGTCTGATGCTTGGCCCTTGAGGTTGGAGACTAACTTCTCGAGTGATGTGCTCATGAACTGTAAAGAGTCGATGAATACCAGTTGATTGCCAAATGAGAATGAAAGATATTTTTGGAGATTGGTCGCGATCACTGTCAGGTCAATCTTTTGTTCACATGATTCTAAGATTATTGGGTGAGAGTCATATCCTCGTAAGTTGTGAAACACTACTGGGATCTTGAAGAATTTAGTTTGACATGACTTATGGATTGCACCTAGGTAGTTAGAATTGATTCTATGGAAGTATGCAACCTTGTTGTTGGTGGACAAGTCTTTAGAGCAGATGTGGCAACTTTTCTGTTGTCTAAAATGCATAATTGAATCTTCGTCCATCTCACCTTTTTGATTGAAGAATTGCTTTGCCAACTTGTTACATTCTTTTTGCTCGGCCCTTATTGCTGAGACAAACTTCTTACATGCATCTTCCCCTGTGTAAGTTTTATACTCACCTGAAAGATGTTCGTTTTCCTTGCAGATTCTTTTGTATCCATACTTGACAGCTTTGTGTCTTTGAATGACTTTGGTGTGATTACCTGACTTGTACTCAACAGGTGATAGTATGCATTCAAAATCTGAGTATATAACGAATGGTGCAAACAATTGATTCTTATGGTTCTTGAAGTCGACTGTTGTACCCTCAACTGGCATTCTGACTGCTTGTTTACCATTAATCACTAGACAGTCTTTTAGATGCTTCTGGAGGTGCTCTTCTGACCTGAAGTTTTGGAAACAACTTATGCAGAAATGTTTCTTATGATTGTCTTTTGTATATGAATGGAGAAGCTTGTTGAAATCCTTTACGAGAACATAATGATTACGTTCATCTTTTGAGATTAAGAGTAGGGTCATCGTGTCTTTGAATGTATTCTTTGATACGGAGATTGGATAGAAGACTTTACCTGATTTATGACCGATAACATTGATGTTGAGGTTGTTCTGAGACTCTATACGGGGAATTTGGTCTATAGACACTGGAAAGGAAACACCGTCGTAATTTAGAGATTTGGCGACTTCTTTATCCTCTTTTGTTATGCGTTTTGGGTCACGGGTCATTGGCCGTAAGAATCTCACGTGTGACCATCTAAAGCATTCGTTATCACCTTTATTGAAAATGTTCCTTAGACCCAACTGTGGTGTTTGAAGTGACTTTGGTAGGTCAAGATATGATGATCCTTCAAGTGGAGCATATGTGTTGACAACTATGTTCATACTTGGGAGTTGGGCGATAGACCAGCCACTTCCTCTGGCAATGAAACCGTCTATTCTCTGTTGAACCAGGGCTATTGCCTCTTGTAGCGACTCTTCTATATTACTCCCTTGAAGTAAGGTAATGGCAACATGATTTGCACCGTACTCGGCTAACTCATATCCTTCCCAGCCCTTTGGCTTGATGAACTCTACATCTAGATTTATGTGGTACTTGACCCCTCCCATTATAATTAGATTTTTAGTGAGGATTTCTGCAAGTGATGGAAGTGAAGATGATAACTGTATATGTGGATCGTTACTAACAATTTGGATTTTATATCTCTTTATAAGGTTGGAGAAGGAGTGAGATGTCTTCTTGTAAGTAGGACGCTTTCCTGTAGAGAATGGTTCAACTATATCCTCAAGTTCCTTTACAAACCTTGTGTTAGGAAGTAGCTTAGGAGGTTCCTCTGGAGTTGGTTGTGGAGGTATCTTTGTCCTCGGTTTTGGGATTGGACGTTCCCTTGGTTGAGGAGGTAATTTAGTCCTTGGTTTTGGAACCGGTCTTACAGGTTTTACTTTCTCGGGTAACATGTACTCTAGAGTCAACTTTGATGAGGGAATCTTGTAACTTTCTCTTCGAGTTGGTTGTTCACGTTTTGGTGTAAAAGGTGGGATTGTAAATGAAGGAGCTAGTTTCATCTGAGTCTTTACTTTTCCAGGTGATACACTTTTTGAAGGTGGGGGAGTTTTAGCTGATGACTTTTCACCTACTTCACCTAATAACTTACCTACTAACTTTTCTTGCGAGGAATCTTTAGATTGAGGTAAGTTCTTAGTTTCAATGTTGTATTTCCTAGACAACTCCCTTACTAGGTGGATGTTGGATATTTGATTGTCGGGAAACGTCTTACCTTTTTGTGCTAGCTTTTCTTGAACATCTGAGAACTTTTTAGATATAAACTTTTGGTTGTCACTATCTTTAACGTATTTGTACGCGCTCGTTGTAAAGCTGATGAGTCGAATGATCTGGTCTTGGTTGTTTTCCATTTTTTGTTCTTCTATATTATACCGTATGTTTAATGGAGATTTAAGTTTTGTTGAAAGAGTGGGTGTTAAGTTCACGGGAAAGTTAAGACTGGAGTGAGTGCGGATACTTGGTTTTTTAGGTATCTGTAAATTTTGCGGCATAAGCTCACCTGACATTTGGGCGATAGCTGACTTTTTAGGTATCTGTAAATTTTGAGGCATAAGCTCACTTGACATTCTTCTATATTATATAGGTAAAAATAAAATGACCTATTTAATTGATATTTATTGTTAATTTATGCCGCAATTTTAGAATACACTTTTAGGTGAATAGATGATGTCTACATTCAATAAAACTCTAAATATAACGGTGATTTAAACAGGAATATGAGTTTAAAATGGGTGGGGGCGGGTTAAAATACGCTTATAAAGGGTCTAGAATCGGTAATTTATCATTTGTAGCACTGTTTTAAATAATGCTTAGAAGTGCTCTACAATAGAAGTTTTAGTGCTCGTAGAGCCTCTACGTAGACAAAAACATCGATTTTCGACTTGCCGCATTTTTTTCATTTTGCGGCATAACCGGCTCGCCCCTTACTACTAATATTTTATTAAACTTTAATCAATAATTTTGTTTAATTTTAAGGGAATGATCATTGGAAGCGTTCCAACTCGTCATTTTTATTCTCCCTACGGAACAAAGACAACCTTGCTCCATTTATTGCCAATATGAAGCAAGGTCAGGAGCACCATGGAATCTGCTGTGACTCTAGCTATGGACCATTCTTTGGTGGAGGTTATGATCTGCGCATTTGTAACAATCCTCACGTCCGTAAATCATACAGCAATTTTGGAGGCACATATCAACTTCCTCCCGGTTATGTCTATAGGAGTGAACAAGCAACTAACCTTCTCGCTGGTCAACACCTGTTCTTGACAACAGAAATGGAAGTCTTCAACTGAGAACTGCCTTTG